ATGACAGAAATCAATTCCTTTATCTTCCCTTTTTAATCAAAATTCAAGTCCCTTTTGCCATGCTTTTGATGTGGTTCTGCATAAGTGATTCATTGGAAGTAAAATGGCAAATCCTCTGCTTTCAGGAGAACATTGTAATTCATAAAGTAGGCAAGGAGTAATTTAAGTATTTAAAACTTTCGTTGGAATGTGCTTTTCTGTGAAGCCTTGGAGATTTGAGCACATGGAATTTGTATTTTTAGTCCAAGGATTATACCATTTGAAACTTGACAATTAATTAAATGAATTGCTTACCCAATCAAGTATGGAGGCAGGGGTAACTTGCAATAGTAAAACATAATGAATAATGCAAGATGATTACAAGTCAGCTAGTGATGCTCAGCAGGGTCAAATCAAATTTTAGGGATGTCTCTTAAAGTTGTAATGAGCCATAGTGTCCTAATGAGAAGTTTCACTGAATCCTAAGTAATCAAGCTGAAAACTTTTCAAGACTAAACCATGAAGGAAACTGTGTACGAAACAGATTTTATTTACCATGTTAAATAACCAACTGGTTAACAAACTAGAAAATAAATCACAAAACTTAAACTAATTACTTGACTTTGAAAGACGCAAGTTCCTGGAAGTGAAAACTGCCAAGGGGGAGATTAATAAAACTCAGTATGACAATGCTGAATGCTTCACCTATTATTGATATAATGTGAAGACTCCTGGATGAACAGCTGACAGAGTTAAGAGCTGAGATGCATAGAACTTCGAGAGAGATTGGATCAGAGATACTTCAGACTAAAGAATGCACAGGACCTGTGGGAAAAGATGTGGATTTACCTCTGCCTGAGCATGGGACAGCAGCAGGTGATGTGTTGGGAGTAGACTGTCTGGAGGACTGACACAGACAAAGGATGCTGTTGTGAGGCCAAAAGAAATAAATGGATTTAAGAGACAATTGGAGAAGGCAGAGATGAAGCTGAGAGAGAAAGGGAATGGTGCACAAACTGAAGTGAACACAGAAGAAAAAGTCCCTAAGCTCTTAGCGAATGGTTTGGAAAAAGAATGGAAAACATGGAAGAAGGCTTTCCCCCTTTTTCTTTAAACCATGGTGAAAAACTGCTCACAAGAAATTTGACTGGAACCTATGGAACTGAGTATGATTTATCAAGGACACAACAAGCAAATAAGTATGGACTATTACACTATTAAGATTTGTTGGGACCCTTGGGGAGAAAATCATCATACTGGACTGGAGAAAGACTATTTTGGACACTTAATAATAATAGTTGAAGAGCTACTTTTGGACTTATTGAGTGGAAAAAGACGAATTTGAGATGTCCACAGACAGTTTTCCATCTCATGTGGCCAGCATGACTAAACAACTTCTGGAGCAACAGAACACCGTGACAGAAACCAGAGTGCACAGAAACGCCGTTTACTTTCCTGCTGCAGTGGGACCTATTTATCTACTTGCACTGGTGTGCTTTCAAACTGCTAGGTTGGTAGAAGCTGGACAGAGCAATGGGAGCTCACCCCATCGTACAGACTTGAGCCACCGACCTTCCGATCAGCAAGTCCAAGAGGCTCAGTGGTTAGACCACAGCACCACTCACTCCCAATATGATTTTATAATCTCTATAGTGAGTCAGGAGGGGATCACCAAGCCAAACCATGGCTGTTTAACTGGGACCAGCTGTGACATACTATATAAATTCCAGTGTCGTCGTAGATGTAAAGTCTGCTTGCTGATTTAACTGTTTTTATTTGTGACCCATTCTGGGAACTGCTTGGAGGTTGATGAAAATGTATGAAACAAGTAATAAATTAAATAATAACTTGTTAAAACACATTACATTCTGTTAGAGATTGTGCAAAATGGTATATTTTCTGCAAAAACAACAACTCCTCACAAAACACATACTAATAAATACATATCAGAAGAAAGGTTTCAAACATACTGACGGTCAAGACCAGGAAAGTGAATACTAAAGAAAAGCAGTCAACTGGCAAAGGAAAGGCTAATGGAGATAAAAGAGGCATAGTAAACATTTTTTACAGCATTAAATGCAAATTCAAGCAACTGTCCTCAGTCATATCATTCTAAGGATGTTCTAAATAGCATGTCAAAGGAAAGAGAAAAAGTAAACTACATTCAGATTCAGGCTCTGTATATTAGTGAAGCTGCAGAATATACTCAGAAATGCACACAAAAATTTCAGGACTTTTAATACCATGCAGATTTGCTGTAGAAAGGTCTACATCTCCCCAAAGCCTTGCTTAAAACTCCACATATTCACCAGCCAGTCCTGACAATAAATCAGGGTTTATTTTTGTAATACCTATAAAACTATGTAAGAGACCACAGACTGACTCCACTTAGTAAAAAGGAGTTCAGAAGCAAGAAAAATTAGATGGAAGATCTTGAGCAATAGCTCGTTAGTGCAGGTTCATTTCCTTGTCACATTTTCAAGTTGAGAAAGAAGAAAGCAGGGATATTTCCTCATTTGTTCATAAAGCTGCAATTTGCCTTTGGAATACAGAGTTGCCAGGGCCAGTATGACAAGGCATTAAAAAAAAGCAGCCACTTGTTTTCTTCTGGTCTAGGTACCTGCAATCCAACAAACTACCCTAACAGAACAATGACCTGTTATTCATGAGGAGTGTGTCAATTGTTTGAGCTCCCTATCGAATTTCTAAGCCAGAGCAATTATGTGGAATTGGGGCTTCGATAGTTTGACAGCTTTTAGAAAACACCTTGTTAAGGGAAGAGATCCCACTGTGAAGAAGTCAAAAGAGGCCCTCTGGGATAGTAATCTGATCCTTTAAAGGTACTAAGGACAGAACTTTTATTTTATTTTATAAATTGTCACTCACAGCTACAGCTGGAGAAAATTAGGAGAAATGATAACTGATGCCTGAGAAAGGAACTACTATTGTATCCCTGTAAGAATGCCACAACACTAACATTATGGTCAGTCATTATTTGCTAATGAAAGATTGGAGAAGGCCTTCTGTCTCCTTTCGGAATATGTTGCCGGTTTCCAGTCGGATCATACAAACATGTGCAACTATGTGCTCATCCACACTTGCCTTTCTAGGCACAGGTCTGTCCTTTAAATCTCTCTCTCTCTCTCTCTCTCTCTCTCTCTCTCTCTGTGTGTGTGTGTGTGTGTGTGTGTGTGTGTCTGTGTGTGTTTGGGGCGTGGGTTCTCCTGCTCCTTACCACTGAATCAAAACCAACAGCAATTTGATTCAGTGTTAAAGAGCAAGTTTTCATGAGGCAAATAAAAAGTACTCAGACATGGCGCTTTAAAGCATGGACCTGTGCCTAGAAAGGCAGCACACAAGGATGTCTGGATGAGCCCCGAGTCAATCTCTTCAAAGGCCATATAATACGTCAAAGTCAAAGTATAGGCTTTATTGCAGTTCTATGCCTTAGTAACAAAGAAAGATCACATAAAATATGTCCTTAAGACAACTGAGCTACCTGTCAAACATTTTTCAAAATGATGAAAAGTCAGAATGATCCCCCAAATTAATCAGACCGATGTACTTTGAAAGACAAAAAGCACACAAATAAGTATATTATCCTTTCTAATGCTTAGATTCTAACACCCGTTCTTCAGAACTGCTTAATTTTTATTTATTTATTTTTTAAAAAAGGAAACTTATTTCAGTTTTAGGAGAAAAATTGCATAGGCGTGTCCTTCCTAAGTCAAGCTTTGTTGATATCCCTTTTTGTAGTTCAAATATCAGCCTGATTCATTTTTCTTTAGAGAAAACCCAGTCTTTGAAATGATAATACTTATGATTTATCTGGCTAGTTTTGTATGGCTCAGGTAGCTTAAGGGATTGACATTAAGATATTGAACGTTTCTTTTTTGGGCCCTTTATTTTGGCTCTGACACAGGCTGTGAATTGCTGTTATAGCACTGACTATTCAGGCAGGTGTGTATAAACCCGGTTGGCAACACCAGAGGACTGTGAAATTGGTTTGGCAATTGGACAGAGAGAGCCTTAAGTGATAAAAACTTCCCTTGATTGCCATCTCAAAGGGCTTCACAACCTAATGGGCACAGAAGAATCCAGAATATCCACACAACTTCCTAATTTCTCTGTGTCCCCCTCCCCGCCACATAAACTTTAAAGTGAGAGTTATTTAGCTATTATATACGCTGTACATTTTGAGACAGAGAGATTTGAAAAGCAAGTCTGGTAATTTAGCAGCTCTGAAAGGCAATCCAAATGTAATATGTTTTGATTGTACCAAAAAGATAAAACATACTTGAAAAGTAAAATTGATACACAAGTATACTTTACAAGCACAGAAACATACAGCAGGGTCGGTATGACCTGGCATAAGAGTGTTAAAAACCATGGTGTTAAGGGCTATCAGCATGGGCGGACAAGGACTGTCATATCTCACAAGATATTGTCGCAGACAGGTAATCCAGTAGCCCTTCAAAGGTAGTCTGTGACAGCAACTCTTAAGATACCTTTCTTCTAAAACTGCAATACTGTAGTTATTAATCAGTGAAACAGAAGGCTTTCCAAAATGCTTACCAATGATATGACTGGTTGTAACTTCAAAACCTCCAAGTATCCAACAAATTAGTGGCTACCTACTCCCTGAATCGTAGTGGATTATTTTAAAAAGGTACCCCTGCCCGTACGGGCCAGTCTTGACAGACTCTAGGGTTGTGCGCTCATCTCACTCTAAAGGCCGGGAGCCAGCGCTGTCCGCAGACACTTCCGGGTCACGTGGCCAGCGTGACAAGCTGCATCTGGCGAGCCAGCGCAGCACACGGAAACGCCGTTTACCTTCCCGCTGGTAAGCGGTCCCTATTTATCTACTTGCACCTAGGGATGCTTTCGAACTGCTAGGTTGGCAGGCGCTGGGACCGAACGACGGGAGCGCACCCCGCCGTGGGGATTCGAACCGCCGACCATGCGATCGGCAAGTCCTAGGCGCTGAGGTTTCACCCACAGCGCCACCCGCGTCCCTATGTGGATTATTTTACCTTTATATTAATATATTTTAGAAAGGTTTTATAGGAGCAAATTGCATATTGTGAACAAATAAGATAAGTATTCATTTTATCAAATTGTGAAGTAGAGAGTCTGGAGAACTGGAAACAGCTTCTCTGAACCATAAATTATTCCATCTTCTCTTAAAGTACATTTCAGAGCTTTTCCTCTACAAGTTTTAGCCAAGAACGAGTCTTGTTGACAGCTTGCTATTAGAGAGAAGAGAGCTTAACTGCAAGCCTGGGTTCACACGGCATGTTATGTCAAACTTTAGCCTAGGCCAGTGTGGCATGGGAGCAAGAGAGACTGTGGAGCAGCACAGTAGCCGTGAACTCCTCTCCCCAACATTCAAATGGTCCCAATAAACCACAGTTTGGCTTACTATGATGTGAGAACAAGGCCAGAGGATTCAGGGGCAGCACTGCAAGTTAATCACCAAGGAAACCTACAAGGGCTGAGCCTAGGGTTCCAACTCAGAGGATTTTTCTAAATACAGTGGTACCTCAGGTTAAGTACTTAATTCGTTCCGGAGGTCCGTTCTTAGCCTGAAACTGTTCTTAACCCGAAGCACCACTTTCGCTAATGGCGCGCCGCCGGAGCACAATTTCTGTTCTTATCCTGAAGCAAAGTTCTTAACCTGAGGTAATATATCTGGGTTAGCGGAGTCTGTAACCTGAAGCATATGTAACCTGAAGTGTATGTAACCCAAGGTACCACTGTGTGTTGTAAGCCACATTGAGTTGTTTCTTTAAGTTGCAAAGGAGTAAAAAATACATTTAACGTGCAAAACAGCTCATCTTCATCCTAATGATCTTGCCTGAATTATTTCATTGCAGCAGGGGTGCTAGCCCCTGGGGACCTTTGGGGCCCCCAAATATTTTGGGGGTGGGGCACCCCCCATGTTCAAAAAGTGCAGAGGTGAAGCTCGGAAGCAAAGCATGGAACCGAGCCCAGCATAGCTCCAACGCCTGACTCTTTCTCCTCCTCCTCCCACAGTGGGGAAGGAGGGTTGAAGTAGCCTCCCGCTGGTGGCTCCGGCAGGAGAAGGTGGAGGAAGTGGAACCAGCTGGCTGCATGGCTGCTACGTTCAGCTCCGTTCCGGCTCATCCCAACATCATAACACCAATCACCATTGCAAGCTGGCACCTCTGTTTTGAAGTGTGAGATATCTAAGATGCGGAGAAAATGGACCTTAGCCTCATCTCATGACAACTAATGGCAAAACTGACACCATTTTACATTGGAGTGGGTGCTGTCTTTCTAAAGTTTCATAACACAGTAAGGGAGTTTGAATGAGTGAAGGAGGTTACCCTGTAACCCTGCTGCAACACTCCTCCTGTATGCTTAGCAGCTGTATTGATTTAGAGCTGTGCACATGTGCATGTAAAGCATCTCTGTGGGATAGGGGATCCTGTCTGGCCCAGGATCCCACTGCATGAAGCAGCTTTATGCCCATATGTTCACATGGCTGCCAAAGTGTAGCGAATAATTGCAATGGCAAAAAGCGCCATAAAGTATGACCCCCTCACCCCTTCTTCATTTCCAGTATTAAAGAACACAAAAATCAAGATGCAGCATTGCACAAAAATAGTTTTTAAAATCCTGCCACATCCAAAGACAACAAAACTAACTAATGGGTATGCACGAGATATGCTGAATTGACTTTATCAAAGACTCCACTTTGATATTATTTAATTTTCTTTAACGTATAAGTAAGCAGGACTGAGCCCTTAATTTGCTCCAGCTAACACTTTGAGGCTTCCATATATTCTATTGAAGTGTCACACTATTGTGAGACTGCTAAACTTTGCCGTATGAAATCTCAATTTGTAATTGAGTTACGCTTCCAGGAAATTTTACATACATTATATATACATTAGAAACAGGAGCTCAACCCAATCCTCTGGTGTTAGCATTCAAATTAGACAAATGCATGAATATTTAAACCTGAGGGGACAACATCTATTAATTAGAATATATGCAGTAATACTTATTGCAGCTTAAGAATCTTACTGTCCCACAATCCTGATTTAGCCGCAGCTTTCAGAGCTCTGTTGTGTAGAGGGGGGAGAGACTTCAAGTAGTAAGCAGCTGGAAGTGTGTTGCATTGCACATTGTGCTGAGCTCCTAAGGTTACCTGGGGATGATGGGAGTTGTAGTCCGAAACACCTGGGACATATTACTTTAAAATGCTGGTGTTGTTTTTCTCCCCTCCAATATCCCTCTTCAAATCATCAGTGCTAAATGTTTTATGGCTAGCTAGTTCTTTCTCCTTTTTCATACTCTCAAATGAGAGAAGGAGAGAGAGAGACAAGAAGGGAGGGAGATAGCAAATAACAGAAAGACAGTTCAAGGAAAGGAGACTCTGCAGAGTACAGTTTTTAACGAAAGTTTGTTTGGGGGAGCAGGACAGAGGGCAGTTTTGAAATTTGTGGTTCTTTAAAATGGTAGTTAACCCCCTGCTTCCTATTTCGAAGGCATGTCAGTCCTTTCTCTATTGCTCATGTCACTGATCTTGGCAGGCTCCTTGTGTGCAAATAGCTTTAGAAGAGGAGCATGTAAACAAACAGATTTATTATCCTTACAAACTGAAATGGGAGGAACAGTGAAATGGCAAATCTCAGCAGAGGAGCAGACTCAGCAGGCAGGAGACCAGACAGTTTAGGCTGTAAACTATGTTTACTCAGAAGAAGGAAATCCAATTTACTTCAGTGGAGCTTACTTCTGTCTGCGTGAGCCTATGACAGATTGCCAGCTCTTCCATGAATGGAAGGAGCACTTCAGTTTGTGGAAGGACTACTCGGATTCCTGATCTTTATGTTATAGCATTTAGTTTATTGTGGGGATGGGTAATTTGTGGTCCCTCCAGATGTTGCCACACTCTAACTACCATGATCCCTGACCATTGGCTATGCTAGCTGGAGTGATGGGAGGTGAAGCCCAATAACATCTGGAGGGCCACAGGTTAGCCACCCTGATCTGATGGCGCGATATCAAAGAAACAACAGCAATTCCCATGAAGGCTGGAAGCATCACAGAGGAAAGGCCACAGAACATATGGTTCCTACTTGGACATAGGGAGAGGATCCCATATGAAAACAGGGGAAAGAGTAGTACAGTGGTACCTCTGGTTATGAACTTAATTCGTTCCGGAGGTCAGTTCTTAACCTGAAAATGTTCTTAACCTGAGGTACCACTTTAGCTAATGGGGCCTTCCACTGCCACCATGCAGCCACCGCACAATTTCTGTTCTCATCCTGAGGTAAAGTTCTTAACCCGAGGTACTATTTCAGAGTTAGCGGAGTCTGTAACCTGTTTGTAACCTGAGGTGTTTTGTAACCTGAAGTACCACTGTATTTGATTTTGACCCTCTACCCATTGTCTTCATTTATTGCCATACTATATCAGTCAAATATGAAATATGTTGGGGGGGGCGGTGGCAGAGGGAGATTAAAAAGTATTCTCTTTCAGTTCCCATTGGCACCTATGGGATGTTTTCTCCAAAGCATTCTAGCCACATGTGGAGTGAGGTACTGAACTCTTGCATTTACCCTAATTAGGGAATATGTGTGTGAAACTAAGAATTCTACACAGTGGTACCTCGGGTTAAGAACTTAATTCGTTCTGGAGGTCTGTTCTTAACCTGAAACTGTTCTTAACCTGAGGTACCACTTTAGCTAATAGGGACTCCCGCTGCCGCCGTGCGATTTCTGTTCTCATCCTGAAGCAAAGTTCTTAACCCGAGGTACTATTTCTGGGTTAGTGGAGTCTGTAACCTGAAGCGTCTGTAACCCGAGGTACCACTGTAATGGAAAGAATATGGCTGAAAGCAACATTTTCAACTTCCCTCCCAGAAAATTTGTTGCTGTTTTTTTTAAAAAGGGGGGGCTGTTGCTTCCTTCATTGCTTATTCTTTATTTGAAACGATACCATCTGATTCTCCTATTATCATATTTGTAACATATTTTTAATTGCAAGTTGCAGGTAGCATATTTATACCTGGATTTTGAGCATTTTGCTATTTGCTAATGTCCACTAAAGGGACGCGGGTGGCGCTGTAGGTAAAATCTCAGTGCCTAGGACTTGCCGATCGCATGGTCGGCAGTTCGAATCCCCGCGGCGGGGTGAGCTCCCGTCGTTCGGTCCCTGCTCCTGCCAACATCAAAGTGCAAGTAGATAAACAGGTACTGCTTTATAGCGGGAAGGTAAACGGCGTTTCCGTGTGCTGCTCTGGTGCTGGTTCGCCGGAGCAGCTTCGTCATGCTGGCCACGTGACCCGGAAGTGTCTGCGGACAGCGCTGGCTCCCGGCCTCTAGAGTGAGATGAGCGCACAACCCTAGAGTCTGTCAAGACTGGCCCATACGGGCAGGGGTACCTTTACCTTTACAATGTCCACTAAATCATCGATCTGGGTTGTATCTAAACAAACATTGGCAAAGGAGGATTACTAAAATAACGTGTGGTTGGGTTACAGTTGTAATTTAAAAACCTATGATGCATAGCTCAAGGTATGTGTGTGTGTGTGTGTGTGTGTGTGTGTGTGTGTATAGTCTAAGCATCTTACAGCTTTGCATAAATTGTTGTAATGTAGTACCCAAATTCAGAGATCTGGATTAATGACCATGAATAACTGCAATCCATTTCAGCGATAATGATCTTTTTGTCACTACTGCTTATAGAATGTTTTTACAAGTTTGCCACATCAGCTAAGGGTGGAGATTTAGACCACAGGGTGATGTAAAGGACAACAGGATTCCAGTACCTTTAATGTGAGTGAAGAGGAGGAATTTGGGTACATGCAACTTGTCTAATTCTTGGGTAACATGCCAAAATTTCCTTTCGGAATCTTGCACTGAAAGCACAGGAGGTCTCTTCTCTTGTCTCCACACTGTCTCCCTGTTAAGACCTTGGGTCTAATCTCACTGGCTGGCTCCGAGCACAGCAAAATCTATATACCCCCAGCCCCCAAACATTGTTAGCAACAACTGAACTGGAAAAGAAGCCTGTGGGCAAGGAGGCTATGCGGGTTGGGGGGGGGAGGCAAGTGGGGGACTGAATTTCACACACAGAATTGAATTTATCAGCTAGATCTTGGGTTGTAAGTCTCAGTTTCCTCTCTGTCCACTTAAACTACAAGGGACAAATGGCAACTCTAAAAAAAAGGCATCTGTCAATTATTCTTCATTTCTCAATGAAGCCCAGGTGTTCGATGAAAGCCTGATCTTTTCAACAATTGCTGACTGGCATCCTTTCCAGTGAGAGCACACCTGGAAAGGTTTCCTCTTAACCCTAGAACACTTGGACAGAAATATACAGCCTCAACAAGACTTAATTTCAAGTGCAATTGCTATGGAAACAGTATGGGTGGTGAAAAGCAAAAGGGGGTTAGGAAAGAACAGTTGTTAAAAATAAAGACAAAGTTTTAAACACTTTGAAGGCATATCATTTAGACAAATGGGTGGGGGTTGGTTTGGTTTTAGTTTCAGTTAATGATGTGTCTACACAACATGACATTTATTCAGCCGTTTAAAATGTGTTATTCCAGCTCTCAAATGCTCTTCCCTTAGATTTTCCACACTTGAATTTATTCATTTGTTGTATCATTCTTTGCATATCAAAACGCAATTTTCATCCATCAAAACACATAATAGAAAGATTGCTTTAAGGCCAGCACCCCCTCTAATGTAATTTAATTCCATTACCCGGTTTGTTCAAAGCATTTTGTTTCAGAATAGTGAGTAATGAAAAGCACTCCAGTCCATCTTGCCACTGAATTTTATTACTGCTTTCAATCCAGATCTTTGTCACTAGAAAAGAATAAGTTTGCAGCTAAACTTTGAAAGATGTGTCCTTCATATTAAAAAATTATATTAACGCACGCTTTTAGAGTCTGTCATCCTTTCCACTAAAATTTTATTAATCTGAATGAATAGTTTGACCAGCAGAAATCCACACTGAGTTACTGACCTACTGAAATCAATAAAACTTAATTTAGTCTCCTTGATTTGAACATGCCTGCTCTAAATATGACTAACTCTGGTTAAAACTCAGTGTCTGGATGCAACTCAGGAGTATGTTGTTTTTTGTTCTGCTTTTTTGCTTGGGGGGGGAGGGAACTAGGGCCTATTTTGTCAGACATATGAAGCATTATCCATGGTTGGCAGAGAAATATAGCAGGATGCACACACATACACACATGTATAATGGCCATAATATGCTAGAGAGGAATGGGAAACCTATGACTGGACTACAAGTCCCATCGTCGCCCAGTATTGGCCATGCTTGCTGGGGCTGTTGAGAGTTAAGCTCTGGAGAGAAACAGGTTCCCCATCGCTGTGACATGTATATGCACTGCTCAAATGTATGATAAATATAATAGAGGACTATTCCAGACATCTTCGCTTTTGACTTTAAGGTGCCTCTTAAAGACTGTTTTATGCCGATGGGCCTATGCAGTTGTTTAATTTTTTCTTGAGAAGACAGCCATTTTAATGATTGCTCTGTATGGCTTTTAATGATTTTAAAAATCTGTATTTTTTGCTCTATAAGACTCACTTTTTCCCTCCTAAAAAGTAAGGGGAAATGTGTGTGCATCTTATGAAACGAATGCAGGCTGTGCAGCTATCCCAGAAGCCAGAATAGCAAGAGGGATCGCTGCTTTCACTGCACAGCGATCCCTCTTGCTGTTCTGGCTTCTGGGATTCAGAATATTTTTTTTCTTGTTTTCCTCCTCCAAAAACTAGATGTGTCTTATGGTCTGGTGCGTCTTAGAGAGCGAAAAATACGGTATATACTGCTGTGTACCACTCTAATAGTGCATTCAAGGGTAGGCTATAAATACATTTATAAATAAATTATAAAATAACACTTCATGCATGAGTTTAATCAATGAAGTGCACAAAAATCAGCATCTTTAAGGTGTCAAGGCAACTTCGTAGTTTTCCATTAACTGTCTATCACAACTGCTCATTTGGATTTTGACCAGAAGCACCAACCTACTGCAACTTCCATCAACCAAAGCCAGCATGGCTAGTGGTGATGAATGTTCTAGTTCAACAACATTTGGAAGGTGACAAGTCCATCATGCCCACATTATAGAACTAAGGTAAATGTTCTTTTTTTAAAAAAAAAAAAAAAAGTATACCTACAAAAATAGAGTGGCTTGCCAAATTATTGGAGTACTACAATATATCCAAAACAATGGGAGAAATTGGAAGGATCTCAAAAGAGAATATAGACAGGGATTGGAAGGTGTTCAAAGGATACTTGCAAAATCATATTGAAAAATCAGAACTCCTATTAGAATAAACAAGTTCCGTTTTAAATACTGAAATACTAAATAAGATGGATAACAATGTGTAATAGAAAAAGAAGCATGAAAATAGGTTAAAGGTGTGTGAAAGAAAATAATAGAAGTGGAAAGAAATTGCAATTGAGTAGATTGGACGTCTAACACAAACGTGGGGTGAGGGGTGGTAGATGGTGATGGGAAAAGGAATTATCTGTGGGACTGAATGTAGGTATGTTGGAATATTTTTAAGGATTGCATGAAATGTATGTTTGTATGCTTGTATATTCGCAATATGTGTGTATTAATGCTGAATTATTTTAACAATAAAAACTTTAAAATAATAATAAAAAAGAACCAAGGTAAATGTTCAACGAACACCAAACTCAGAGCCTGCTGCCTTTATGTAAAATGGACCAGTTAAAAAAAATATATATTATCACATCCATTCAGTTATGTTCCCAAATGTACTAGTTTGCAAACAATGAAATGTCCTACAGGACCCCCTTACTTTTTTCACTCTCAAGCAACACAGTCTGGTACTTTCAGATTTGGGCTGCAATCTTATACACAGTCATTTTGGAGTAAGCCTCATTTAACACAGTGGGAATTATTTCAAAGTAGACATGTGTAAGATTGTGCCATTGGTTAGCCATGAAATTTAGTAAAATTGAAGCAAAACCAAGAGAAAAGAAATCAAGAACCCTATCCTAAATCACCATGAAGATCATTTGATGGAAATTATTATTTTTAAATTATGCAAAAACGTAAAATTATTATTTGTTTCTTTAATGCTTAAAACAAATGTGATAGTTGGAATTCAGTCCATAGTCAGCTTCCTAACAACCAATTCTAAGGGTAATTTGTTATTTAATAATAATAAAGTGGTGGTGAGGGGAGATCTGAAATATTCAATGAGAAACATAGTTGGAGTACTAAGATAGGATTTTATCATTACGACTCCCATCATCATTCCATATACTCCAATCAATGTTTTTCCCTATTTACCTTTTGTAAATGCTCTAAGTTTTGACTTTGGTTTACATGGAGGTGGATAATATCTAAAGCACCCAAGCTCATATTGATTAGGGCATCAGCTTACACAAGTAAGGTAAGACTTGCTTAGGCTACAACCCCAAACCCACCATCTAGGATAAGTTCCACTGAACCCAAGGGAACTTACTTGTGAGCATACATTTATAAGATTACTCTGATGAGCTGCAATTCTACTCATTTACCTGGGAGTAAATCCCACTGAATAGGGCTGGATTGTGTATATGCATACACAAATAGATCCATCCAAAAGAGAGACATTATTAGCAGAGATGTGGTATGTCTGAATTATACAAGTGCTTTGTTTCAACTAACTTGCAACCAAGACTATCCATTCCTGATGACATCATTCAGCCCTGTTCATGCACAGGAGAGCAACGCTTTCCATTGGAGTGGGCTTACAGAAACAGTCATTGTGAGTTAATTATATCTGCAGCAAAAGGGCCCGCACATAAACTTTACTGTATGCACAGTATATGAAGAACAAGACAAAATGAAAATTTATTATACGGATGTAAGTGAAATGTTAGGTATGCATCAAATAAAATCTTATCTGATAAGTTATTTATGTTGGACAATTCACAATATGAATACTTTGCATTTTGATATTGTATATCAATGCCCTTGAACCAGAACCAATAAAAGCGTACCCGCCACAACTGTATGCTAACGTCTTTAAATTAACAATACAGCAAAGTTTTAT